GCTTGGCGCTTGCACTCTCAGACGTGCATTCTCAGGCTTGCACTCTCAGACACTTGCACTTCCGCTAGCGACGTCACTTGCAGTCTTTTTTATTTTTTATTTTGTTCTATTTATTGATTACTTTTTGTTTGAATCTCTCAACATTTTACAACAGTATAGCCTATATACTATAACAGTATAGTATTTTATTAACAGCTGCAGCCAGACCCTTCTCCAATTTAGAGCTAAATCGTGGCTACATATAGACCATGTCATGAAATGACACTTATATCTTTGTAGATATTATTGACACTGCGAACATGATGGGATATCAACCATCTCATGCGCTGCCTGGCCAAAAACTACGTTACAGTGAATCAGGTTTGACTATAAGTGGGCCACAGATATCCGCTCGGACTACGAGCTAAATCGTGGCTACGCTCAGGCTACGTATTGAACATGTCAAAGAAATGAAACCAAACACCCTGTAAACGCTGTTGACTTTGCTTACACGATGGAATATCATATATCTCACAAGTTATTTTGCCACAAAACGACATGAAACCAAATTCAAGGTTATTTGGGCTAGAAATGGCTTACACATAGCCGGACTATATCGGGTCTATACTTAACTGAGACGTTGAAATGACGGCTATTGCTTGCTGGGCTCTTTCTCCGCAAATTACTCAATAAAGCGATGTAGCCTATATTTTAATTAAAAAACGAACCTACTTAAAATAATACTTTACGTAGGCCCAACAACATTTTGATTTTGTTGAAACGTAATTTATTTTTATTCATTTTCGGCTGGCTTTGTGCGGATGTTGTGTGTCTCCAAAAACCCATGCTCTCATTACTGATCACAGAAATATGAATTCACGTTCTCACGAAAGTGTCAAATGAATACAACGACCTCTAGCTTTTCTATGTACGTTATAATCCCTCACTACGCGCGTCAGCGACGAAGCTCTCAATGGATCATGTCGAGCTCAGCTCCAGCAGAAGGGCGATCGGTGGAGTTCATCACGCCTCTCAGTCCGCTGGAAGTGACAGAAACGGGACCGTCCGTGCGCTGCTCCACCGTTCATCCTCATGAAAGCGACAAACGCGCATCTTCCTTTGGAAGCAGTGTGATTTGAGAATAGGCTGGGTTGTTCATGCTTTTGGAGGATCGCTGTGAGGCTTCACAATGAAATCCTTCAAATATCCTTCAAACACTCTCCTGGAATTAACCGTCATTTTTCTTCTCATTCAGAACTCCAGGATGGAGACCGAAGGTAAGATCTTTGCTGGCACTTAATTACCGGTTTCGTTTGTGAAATGTAAAATTCAAGCGGTGATCTTTCACACAGCATTTCCCTAATTTTCCTACAAACTTTTACTCATTCATCCCTCAGATTTGCTAAGCTCTTAAAATGCTAGTAGTCATTGTTAATGCAGCTTGTTCTGATGATTTATTTGAAGTTGGATTTCTGTATTAATCAAATTTATAAAGAACGAAATCGCACGCTATATATATATATATATATATATATATATATATATATATATATATATTTTTTTAACACGGGTTCTTTGACTTGAAGAACTTCTATCAGATAAAACAAAACGTGGCACAGTGAGGGGTTATCTATGCGTATCTACACACTTTTGGTTTGGCTACAGGTTGATTTATCGCAGTTGGTTGGTCACTCAGGTGCTTCCTTCCGCACAAAGTCCAAACTGAATTTCGTCTTACAGCCAGTGCACACTGCGATTCCTGGCACAGGATGTCAATCAGACACTACAGGTGTTGAAAGTCACATTGTTATCAATCCAAGTAAAGAAAAATAAACTGAACATCTGTGAGCGTGTAGGCTATTTTAAGTGGACGTGACAAGAGTTGATAAAAAGCAAACGGGCCAGTGCTTGCAGAGATGTGCCTCACTGGTGTAGTTTCAGTTTTGTATAAATTAAATTTATTTTCAGTCTTGGTAACTTACTTTATTTATTTGTTTAGTCTAGAATTTATTACATTGAATTGCAATAGGCTAGATGTGTTTTTTTCCCATTTCCATTTAATTTATCTAGTTAAATAAATCCTTTAGTTTTGTTTAAGAAGATTCGAGTTTTCATCTGTTAGGATGGTATGATTTGTTGAATCCCATTTCTGCCGTTATTATATCCTCATGTTCTTTTGAAATGTACTTTACGGTCTTAACGCTTGCATCTTTTACTTAACGAAAGCCATTTATTATTGAATTTGTATCCCGCCTGTAAAAAAGCCATGTTCAGTTCATGTTCTTTATATTAAAAGGGCTGTACAGCGGTCAGATTGGTCATTTATTCATTGGGTAGGCGTGGTTTATTCAGAGATTGCGCGAGAGTATCGGAAGGGAGATGGCTGAAGTTCAGTCGTGACGGAGAGAATCAGAAGGTCCCGCTGTCGCATATGAAAGTCGTGAATTAATCCGAACTAAGATGTCATCCTGCAGCGATTTCACGTTGTGAACTGTAGGGAGAATATTTGTGATCTTGATCGACGGCTGATGGTGCGTTCCCGTTAATAATCTCTCGCCTCGCGAGGATTTTGAATGTGCGTCATTAAAGACTGTGAGTGTTATTTTAACTGTTCATATGATTTTCGTTGATATACTGCTGTTAAGTTATATTTTGTTTAATACTAAAGTATGATTGTTTATTATGTGAAATATTGTGCTAATTGTGACAAGTACGATCGCCATTACGGAGCTGTCTGTGACTCAGCAATTTTCCTTTGAGCTGTTAGCATTAATTGCACATTTCGTACTTTCTGTTACTAATTAGTTTCATTTGTGTATTGTAGAACCACACTCAAGAATTATACACACCACACGAACAAGATCCGTTTGCAGTAACAAACATTCATAGACATTTTGTGGACCTTTGCATTTATTCTCATCGGATATTGTGCATCAGTGGACCCGAGACTACAGCTCAACGCCCAAGTTCACTGTTAACCATACATCTGAATGTTTCCTGCGACTGTGAAAATCAACCAGGACTGTTGTTGGACAATGTTCTTCCTGATGACGCCTCTGAGTCCTTTAAGTTCTAAATACTTTTGGATCATCTTAAGTTGGAAGATGCTTTGCTTGTCACTGACTCCTATAGTCACAGTCGTACTCCATTCATTGACACAATGAGAGCACTCACTGATATGTATGGGCAGCCACATCAGTTGGCATTACAAAGGATTACGAACCTTATGGACGGGCCCAATATCAGGAGTGGGGATGTGAAGTCTTTCAAGGGATTTGCCCTTCGGGTCCGAGCACTGGTTGGGATGTTGAATCAATTAGGTAGCCCAGGTTGGACTGAACTGAAGTGTGGCTCACATGTTTCTCGCCTCTTAGCTAAGTTGCCACACGACCTAAGAGCTAATTTTAAGAGATTTGTTAACCCTCTTCATACTCCAATCCCAACGCTGCTGGATTTCGCAGACTGGCTGGAGTACGAGGTTCGTGTGCAGGTTGAAGGAACCCAGTATGGCGCCTATCCTGAACATGAGAAATACAGTGCTCGCAAAGTCAAGCGAACTGGCTTTGTGCCCCGAAAGCTGACTACTGTTCTTCATGGCGGAGAGCAGAGAGTAGGAGCAGTAGAGAATCCGAAGGCTGGACAAGCAGACTCAAACAGACCACAGGAGAAGCCTAAGAAGTATTGTCCGTTCTGTGACACAGTTCAGCACTACATGAATCAGTGCTCCAACTTCAAACTCTTAACTAAGGAGCAGATTGAAAGTTGGATTAGGACAGGCAACAGATGTTGGCGCTGTGGACGAGGGCATTCATCATCCAAATGCACATTGAAGGCAAAGTGCAAAAGATGTGAGAGAAGGCATCTCGATGTTCTCCATGATGTTAATGCCAGCACAGATATACAGAGTAGAGGCAACATCAAGCTGTCAGAGAAACCCACAAGCACAGTTAGTCCCGCCGCTCAGACCTTATATCTAGATCGGCCCACAAGTAGTAAGCAAGTGCTGCTTAAGTTAAGTCGAGTCATTATTCAGAATGGTGACAAGTCACTGGAAACCTATGCTGTGCTAGACAACGGATCTGAGCGAACTATCTTGCTGAATGAAGCCGCTCAACGTCTAGGCCTTCAAGGTGAAATGGAGGATCTTGCTCTTCGTACAGTAAGACAAGAGGTGCATACCATTCATGGAAGATCTGTATCCTTCTCCATCGCTCCGGTTTCGTACACTGACAGATCGTACCGGATTAAGGGTGCATTCACCGCTATAAAGAGTTAAATCTGGTTCAGCATACTTATCCTATCTCCGATTTGCAACGGAGATACCGCCATCTTCAAGATTTGCCTTTACATGATGTCAACAGAGCACAGCCCTTGGTGCTTATTGGATCCGACTATCCACACTTAATCACGCCTGTGGAGCCAGTCAGATTGGGGCCCCCTGGAGGACCAGCAGCAGTTCACACAAAGCTTGGATGGACATTACAAGGTCCATCGAGGCTTCTTAAGCCTTACTTACAGCCTCAAGTCGAGTTCCAGATCGTGGTACATACCACATCATATGGCCCACCACAACAACAAGGACTGTATGGCGTTCAATTGCTCTTTCGAGTATCAGGGTCAGTCCCTGAAAGAGCACCTTTTGCCAGGCCCTACCTTAGGCTCAAGCCTATTGGGAGTTCTCCTCCGCTTTCGAGAATATCCCGTGGCCTTTTGCAGTGACGTGAAGGGCATGTTTCATCAAGTCCGTCTCCTTGATGAAGACAAACCCTTCCTCCGATTTCTGTGGCGCCATGGCAAGACCACTGAACCAGCAGTAGTATACCAGTGGGAAGTTTTACCTTTTGGTACTACTTGTAGCCCCTGTTGTGCTACTTACGCACTGCAGACACATGCGCAAAGAAATCTCGAGGCTACCGATGAAGTACGTCAAACGGTTGAGCGCAGCTTCTATGTAGACAATTGTCTAAAGAGTGTCCCAACTGAAGCTCAAGCGAGCAAGCTGGCAAAAGGGCTGCAAACCTTTGGGTTACGTCTCAAGTGATGTGGCAGACCCAGATCCAGTAACACCAAATTCCTTGTTGATGGGGCGGCCTGACTCCTCTTTGCCTCTGGTGGTCTATCCAGATATTGAGCTACTCAGTAGAAAACGATGGAGTCATAGTCAAGTTCTAAGCGATCATTTTTGGAAACATCTTGTCCGTGATTTCTTGCACACTTTACAGTCACGGCAGAAATGGTACCGTGAAAAAGAGAACATTGCAATCGGTACTGTTGTACTCTTTGTTGATGAGCAGCTTCCGAGAGCGCTCTGGAGAGTAGGCACTGTTTCTTCTGTCATTCCCAGTTCAGATGGGAGAGTCAGAACAGCAGTGGTCAAAGTGAAAGATCATACATACACCAGACCAGTGGCTAAGTTGATCGAATTGCCAACGTTGCCCCCAGATTCAGAGAGTATATCATAAACAATACTACCGTCAAATTTGCATACCAAATTTGGGGGCGGCTGTAAAAAAAGCCATGTTCAGTTCATGTTCTTTATATTAAAAGGGCTGTACAGCGGTCAGATTGGTCATTTATTCATTGGGTAGGCGTGGTTTATTCAGAGATTGCGCGAGAGTATCGGAAGGGAGATGGCTGAAGTTCAGTCGTGACGGAGAGAATCAGAAGGTCCCGCTGTCGCATATGAAAGTCGTGAATTAATCCGAACTAAGATGTCATCCTGCAGCGATTTCACGTTGTGAACTGTAGGGAGAATATTTGTGATCTTGATCGACGGCTGATGGTGCGTTCCCGTTAATAATCTCTCGCCGAAGTTTGCCTCGCGAGGATTTTGAATGTGCGTCATTAAAGACCGTGAGTGTTATTTTAACTGTTCATATGATTTTCGTTGATATACTACTGTTAAGTTATATTTTGTTTAATACTAAGGTATGATTGTTTATTATGTGAAATATTGTGCTAATTGTGACGAGTACGATCGCCATTACGGAGCTGTCTGTGACTCAGCAATTTTCCTTTGAGCTGTTAGCATTAATTGCACATTTCGTACTTTCTGTTACTAATTAGTTTCATTTGTGTATTGTAGAACCACACTCAAGAATTATACACACCACACGAACAAGATCCGTTTGCAGTAACAAACATTCATAGACATTTTGTGGACCTTTGCATTTATTCTCATCGGATATTGTGCATCAGTGGACCCGAGACTACAGCTCAACGCCCAAGTTCCCTGTTAACCATACATCTGAATGTTTCCTGCGACTGTGAAAATCAA